CTACCCATCTTAACATCTCAATGTACCACCATCCTTGACGTCTCCTCCTTAACAAAAAACCAAATCTCCGGTAACCATACCTCAGCCACATAAGCATCAATCGGCTAGCCACCGTGGTCAATGTGCTTGGTCTCAGCACCGGGAGTGAGGTAACTTGGGTGCAGCGCAAGCCCTGTGATGTCTACTACCATCAGTTCGCAGATGGGACTGCTGGTGGCAGTCATCACATGGCTTGCATTGCACCCAAGTGACTTCACTGCCCGTGTCAAGAACCAAGTACATCGGCCCAATCCTCACACAGCCGAGGTACGGTCACTGGCGTTGGTGACTTCTCGCTCAGGTTTTGCTAAGCCGTAGGTGACGATAAGGGTTGGCGGTGGTTCCGGCCTAAAGAAAATTATTGGTTAAAATCTTAGGAAGAAAATTACGAAATTTTGATTACCAAGCACTCTCGTTGCCCTCTTTTTCTCATTACACTGCGGCAGCGAAACCCTACTTCTCGTCTCTTGCTTCCGTTTATCCAAGACAGTCGGACGAGCCTTCGGCCGTGGTGGGGGATCCAACGGAGTCAGATTCTTGGGTTTCACGCCCGAATATAAGCTGTGCGGGACGAGGCGGCGCGGGCTGCTGCTGCTGAGGAGGCTTGGTGATGAGGCGGCAGCACTGGCGGCGGACGCGCTGTGATCGGAGGCGAACGAGCAGGGTCTGCGACTCTCTCAATCTCCTCTCTGAAGCTTCAAGCTGCAATTTTCTTGTCAAAAATCGCTCCAAGATCAAACCTTTACGATCTTGATTGGATTAAATCGGTACCTGGGTTATGTAATAAGCGACGCGCTGCTTGTTGTGCTCGACCTCACGGGTTCTGTGGGCAATTAGCGCGAGAAGAGCCTCCTCGTGATCCTCGGTGGACAATGGCGATTCGTCTTCTTGCTGTTGTACGGGTTTTTCGCCGGTGATGGGTTCGTCGGCGATGGGGTCTTCGAGTTTAGGTTTCTTGAGGGGGAAATGATGATGATGGTGATGATGAGAGTCCATTGAGTATGGGGTCTTCGAGTTTAGGTTTCTTGAGGGGGAAATGATGATGATGGTGATGATGAGAGTCCATTGAGTAATCGAATGGAGAAGTTTAAGAGGTTGAGGGGGAAATGATGATGATGGTGATGATGAGAGTCCATTGAGTAATCGAATGGAGAAGTTTAAGAGGAAGAAGCGCCGCCTGCGTTTAATTTGATGTGAGCAACGGCTACTGTATGGTAGTGATTTTTTTTGGCGAGGTTTAGTTGAGAGGGAGATCAAAACTGAGGGCTTTATAAATTTCGCATTTGATAAGGGTTATTTACATTTAGGGTTTTTTTGCATATATGTACACCTCTCAAATATTCCAGATTTGCAAATTTATCCCTCAAATCTTGGTATCGGCTCTGCTTTAGCTTTTCTACTCCTCTAACTTAACAACGCTGAATTTTAAACAAGGCGATGTCAAATTTTACAATAGTTTCCAACATTTTTGCAACGTTCCCATTCTAAGGCTAAAAAGTGTTAAGTGAGAAGCGTAGAAAAAATCAATGTGAGAGAATTGGGGGCTGATTTTACAAATACCATGATTGAGGGATAAATTTACAAATATAAACGCTTTGAGAGGTAATATGCAAAAACCTCTTACATTTATGTTTTTTTTTTGGGAAGCATTTTACATATACCTCTTTCTATTATTTAACAAAGAGACTTTCCTCACAGCCCATGGCAAAAAAAACTCAGGAAATCTCCTTATGATTTATAATAAGTTTTAAAATATAAAAATAACAAACATGAAGGAGAAGAGAAAAAAATCAAAATGCTACATTTTTAATTCCATTCTTCGTCTCGACATCCTCAATGGCTCATTTATTAACCTCACTAACCCATTAATATTCCCGCTTAATTGCCTATTAACTTCGCAGTCCCTTCAACTTTCCCATCACTTATCATTTTAAAAAATAAAAATTAAAGTAATTTCGGACGCTTCTACAAGGATCCCAAATAGGGGACCCAAAGGGGGGACAGGTGAGTTGTCCCCCTCCGATTGGATGATGCACTGAACAGTGTATCATCCAACCGGAGGGGGACAGCTCACCTGTCCCTCC